AAAATTGGAACTAACCGATAAATAGATAATTGATGCTTTTTTTCCAACAAATTAATATAATCAATGTTGATGAGGTATTCCATCCGTTTTAAATATTAGTGGTATTAATTCTTTCATTTTACTTGTCGTTTTTAAAAAATAAGAAGATATATATTTTCTTAACTTTACTCTTATCTCCTAGTATCTCTAATAAATAAAATAAAAAAGTAAAAAAATTGATAAATGATAATGTTTAAAGTATTTTAATAGCTTTAATTAAGGTTAATTGTTTAGTAACTTTCTCAATATGTATGCAATAACCGTAAATGACATATATTTTAAAACAAATGTAATCGTTAAAAATTATTTGATGAAGTTTTGTCCGTCATGTTATACCTCGGGTGTCAATTTTGAGTCGTTGGGTTTGTCCATTGCGGATTGGCTAAATGCTGAACAAGTAATTAGCCCAACCTTGTCTTATGCGGGCTATTTAAAGCTTATGTTGGCTTGTATTTCTTTTACCGATTTATAAAATTAAATTTCAAATAATTATAAATAATTTGTTTGATTAACTTGCAATAAAAATATAAATTAATATTATTTAAACAAATTAAAAAAAAAACTTAAGAATTATAATTCGTGTTGAAATAGGTCAAATTAATTCAGACTATTACTTTTTATTTTTATTTTATTAACCTAATTCACACATTTTAACACTACAATTATAACTCATTGGTAGAGGAACCAAATCCCAATGTTGTGAGCCCTTTCTGTCAATCGGTAATAGCCACTAAATTGATTATTTAAATGAAGCCCAAGCAAATGTCATTGAGACAATAATTATGAATAGGGATTGGATAGATACGTGCTTTTTTAGTAGCATTAGCATACATCTCTATTCGCTTTAAACGGACGACGTTTGGAATTACAAGAACAAGCCCCACTCTGTTCGTAAGTCTATAAATAGGCCTTGAATACAAAGACAACGTGGCTAGTAAAGGTAAGAAGGCTGCACAAATGGTCCATGTTAAATTTTAGGGAGCATTTAATCTTATGTTATAGTGGGTCTCATCATGTGTTAAAAAATAAAAAATTAAATAAGAGACACGCTTGTCAATGTATCTATAATATAAGATAACTCTCTCTTATTACATGAGAGAATAATTTCTCTAAATTTTATTATAAATTTACTTTTAACTGAATTAATTTTATTAAATAAAATGTTCACTACGCTGAGGTTAAAAATAATAATTTGAGATGTGGCAATTTGCGAGTCACGTTGCATGGATATATTATTAATTTATTGTGGTTATGGGTTAGATAGCCTGTCAAGGGTCTACATCATATTAGATTTGACTTATTATATATAATAAAATAGAATATACTCAAACTTTTAAAAGAGTCTTTTTGAAAACAGGTTATAAACTTTTTTTTATAAGTCCAGCCCTACAAATTTATAGGTTAATTTTTATAACATATTATTTATTTTAAATAAAATTATTATTTTAATAATTTTAAATAATAAAATAATTTTTTTTAATTATTGAATGTTTAACGAATATAAATAGGCTAACAGGTCTATAATAAATATTTTATTTTTTAAATATAGATCAAATTTAATTTATAATATGAACTTATATAAAATTAACAGACAAAATTAACAAAAATTATTTTAAGTCAAATTCTGGGCAATGCGACCCCTAGTTGAAAATGAAGGGAATGGCAATGTGGTGATATAAGGAAAGAATGTGGGGTCTTTAATTGACATTGAAGTTGGCAAATGCGTATGTATGAGTGTATGACTGAAGGAGAGGTGGGGGCAAACAAACGCAGCTGTATCCAACTTAAGGAGTGAGAAAGGGAAAGAGAAAGAGTATGACCAACTCTCACTGCATAGCCAACCAATTACAGCGCACACCAAAACCAAACTATTTTTCTTCTCTCTTTTTCTGTCCCCAATTTCCTTACACTCACAAGTTACACACATGACATGAGTCATGACTCATGACACATGCTTCTCTTCTCCATCAACTTTACATCTTTATAACCCACGCATACAGTTATCGGTCCCACCCTACCCACTCATCCTCTGTATCACCACCACTCCTGAGTCTTGCCATCAAATATATATATATATATATAAAATTTCACTTATAAAATAATTAATAATTAAGCTAATATATAATTAACTTGACCTCTCAGTCCCATTACCTACATTGTATCCAGACTTAAGCTAATTTTTATAGTACTTGGTGGTGTGCTTGAAAACTAGATATCTATATAAAATTTTATTAAGTTTTATTGATAAGTTCGGTTTTACCAATAGATAGATGAAAATGACTATTGGGAGGGATGGATTTAGAAATGAGTTATTAAAGGGGTTGATATTAGAAAAAAATCAATATACTTAAATACTGTTTATTTTAAAAATTAAATGTATTGCAATTTTATTAAGTTTGAATGTGACACTTTTATACTATAAAATTTATTACAAGTTGAATTAGTATCAAATTTGTTATTGATATTTTTTAAAAAAAATAAACTATATATAAATAATATAAAATAAAATAAAATAATAAAATTTAATTTAATACTTAATTATATAATAACGTATAGATAGTTAAAAAAAAAATTGGTGTATATCATTAAAATAAAATATTACACACGCATAAATAAATGATGCACCACCGTAGAGTCCAAGGGTCCTGTAAGACCCCCTAAATCTGTCACTGCTTATTAATTCCAAAATTTTATTTGCAGATTTTATTTTATTTTTTAAATATACATAGTGGCATGAGCTTTTTGTTCCTAGACCTTGAAAACTTTTATTTCTCTAAAAATTAGTGTAATATATGAGTATGAAATATTTTTAAGCAAAAGGCATTTTTGTAAGAAGTGTTAATTTTTATCTTATGAAGTATTATATGAACATCACCAAATATAGAATAGTATTCTCTTATATGATACAACATTTAATATAATGTTGTCATACCAACATTGTATAAATTTTATGAGGTCTTTTACTATTAAGTCTCTTATCATCATGTCTTATCCTATTATATACATTCTTTTTTCTTGAAATTGTTATGATATTAAAGACTCTTACGTATCATTCATAAGTGTTGATGCCAGTTTTGGTCCCCTCAGCCCCCACCCATATTTTCGGACACACCGCAGCTGAACCCGTATAGGCACTGGCTCCACAAAATTTTCAATTTTGGAGGTTTCAACTTTGAATTGGACTGCGTTTGTAGAACTTTCAACAGCTTGAACTGGCTTTTTAAGACATACTATGATACTACAACCAACCCACTTTAAGACACGCTTGAATCGCCCGAGTTGATTTTAAAATAAAATGGGCCTAACAGTCTAACACTGTTTTTTATTAGTCATTAATGTCTCCACTCAAATGTGGATTTTTAGTGCCAATAACAACTGTGTTTCTCTTAGACGGGGCTTCAGCAATTTATTTCGATTTGTGCCTGCAAATTATAGAATTTATGCAACAAAAACAATATTTTATTTAAATTTATAACAAATACAATTAAAAGGAAATTTTTCTTCAGAAAAATTACAGTAATCTTGATTTACCAAAATTGTTTACATTCATTTTACTTCTGAAGTTAAAACTGATTACGCGTCTTTAACTTTTTTACAAGGTCATACAGAGAGGAGAGGTAAATCCGTAAATGTGAAAGTGTCTATTTCTATTTTTATTTATCAATTATTATTTCTTTTATAATAACATTTTCTTTTTCTGAAATTTCCATTATTTAATCGTTGAGACTAAGAAATGGTCTCTCGAATTATTGAGTCAAACACATTAGTTTCAGGATTTTTGCATAAAATAAAACAACAAAAATAATATATTTTCAGTAAATACTTTACAAATAAATTTCATAAAAAAAGTATGACTAAATCATGGAAGCTAAAATAATATGAAATAACGAATGTTTTTTTTTATTAAAATATAAAATAACCCTATATGACTAATTCATTGATGTTATATATAAAATCACAGGCGTCATGATCATTGATCAATTGACTATCCTGTATAAAAATTGTTTCAGACTAACCCTAAATTTTTCTGTTAACTATTATTCTAGTGTTTAGTTTTTTGGGATTAAGGTACCTTGAAATTTTATTTAAAAAAGGCTAATATTATGATTAGTATGTAACTGTTAATCAAACGTTTAAATAAGTATAATAGTGGTGATAGAATATAGCTAAACTATTTAATAGAAGGTATTAAAAAAAGAAAAAGTTATATTTACCACCAATTTAGGCTTATCATTCTTACAACTTGTTTAGTTCTGGTTGGATTAATTTGAAATCAACGGCTAGACTAAAAAAAGAGTAAAAACAGGTTGTAAGAGTAGTAAACCTAATTGGTGATAAATACAGCCACCTCTTAAAAAAATAAGAAAAAAGTTAGTTAAAGAGAAGTTGATAGTAAAAAAGTAGGAGTTCCAATTGACACTTTCGGTCTCATTTGGACGGGCTTATAAAAAAAGTAATTTTTATGTCTTGCTTATTTTAAAAACACTTTGTACAAAAACTAAAATTATTTAGATTTTTAAAAAAATATTTAGTGTTTGAAAAATATATTTGACTTTTGAGTTCTGTTTTTTTTATAAGCTAAAATTTTTAACTTAAAAAAAACATATTTTTAACTGTTTTTATGACTTCTATTTTTAAAAAAAAAAAACAGGCATCCAAACAATCTTTTTTTGAGAGGTGTTTTTTTTTTTTCTTAAAAAAAAAAAAAGCTTTTGAAGGAAAAAAACTCATCCGAAGGGGCGATCAAAATTCAAACTAGCAACAGTCAACTAATTCATAATTTTCTTTCCCGAGATTATGTAAATGAGACTTAATGTCTATGATATCCTGATAAATTTAATATCGTTTGCTATTTCATGATACAACGCAATGAACAAGATTATATTCCTTACAAACAGGTAACAAAATGTAGTAAAATTAGTGCATATCTTTTAAGCAAAAAAGTGCTAGTAGTAATTAAATGACTATAATGCAAGCAAATTTTGAACATACTTTTACCATTTTACATCAAAAGTGCAGCAGTATATCAATTCTCCCTACTGCATACGAGCGAAGCAGATAAATGAAGAACTACAAAAGATAAAGCATATAGCAAACGTGACATACAAGGGCTGAAGCATAGTAGGCCACTATCAAGTTACAAGTAACAAAATGCTTCTCTTCTAGTATTAACCAATCTATATGGTCTCGTCTAATATTAACATAGGCTAAAAGCAAAAAAGAGACAATGGCAACCATCAAGACATCGAACCTGAAAAGCAGAATTGCTTGATCATGATGAGTCTTCATGATAAAGGTGGAGCCCTAGCCCCAAGCGTGCACAAGCTCTACGAAAAGCCATTGCTTCTGCCTTCTGTACAGGATCTCCATAACTTGTGTCATCTACTGAAGCAGTACCGGTAGATTCCCTAAATATCTAGAGAAATAAATGGGGGTTTAGCAGAAGAATGAATCAGAATAGAAAAAATTGAAGAAAGAATTAACGGGAGCTAACAAACAACTTAAGTCTGTTTGACTCATTTTCAGACTCAATCACCATAACCATATTATTTATTCAACATGTTTAAATATAACTACCCAGTACCCAGAGACTAAAATTAAGAACAAGACTCTAATGATAGTCCACACAGTTGTCTCTTGATCGCAAGTGAGGACTCCTTCCCCTTGATTCCTCCTTCTCCTTGGTAGCTTGCTAGGCGAATGCAAGGTGGAGGTTATCAAGTGTTTAGGTTTATTTACTCAAGATTATAATGTTGTCTTGAGGTTAAATGTGTGGGGCGCAACATTGGAGGAAAGAGAGGTGGAAGATGGGCGACCAATAAATGAAGTAAAAGGCAAAGAAGCAAAAATGATTTACAATCATGTAAATGTAAACTTTGTTGTTGACAAATAAAACTAGATCTTAAGCTCTCTGTCTCAGTTTAGCTCCAAACTAGTGAGTGGTGAGTTGAATACTTTCATATGTTTTGAAATTATATATCTACACTCTACAGACATAGTTCAAGATTCTTTTACTCTAATTGTAGATTCATTTGCTCAGAATATTCATCAATCCAGCACAGTGAATGTTTGGTTGCTCACGAGTCACTCACCTGACTTATATGCATGATGAAGAAACTGAGTTCCGCATTATTAATAATCTACAATAGATAGGCCGGCTAAAGTTTCCAGAACTTAATTCTATAGATTGATGACTCATGAAGATGGCATTGGTACAGTGTGTTTTGAAGGTGGAGGATATATGCTTTTTCCATAGAAATGTGAGAATCGATATGCTGATGCAAGCAAAAAATTCAATGTGAGTGTTAGGTGAGCCTTCTGATTTATTAAGCAATTTTAAGGATCCATCATCAACTTCCAATTATCCTGAACGGTGAATATAAGTAGCAATTGTCAGTGTGTGTTTGGATGTGCAGCGGAAGAGGAACCGGTAAAAGGAGATTTCAAGAATAAATATTGCAGGCAGAGCAGAAGCCATATCACGTAGCTTCTGCAGACCCAAAATCACATTGGCAGCTCCCAACAGCTAAACCAAATACACAGTGAGTTCAGTTGTATGGAACTTGAAGTTTATATTAACAAAGGAAGCATACAATTTATAATTCAGCATCTGATACACAAACCTGAGAAATATATATAAATGAGCTTAAGCTACGACAAACTGACAATTAGTACTTTGAACCTCATCAAGGAAGGACTAAAGTCGATTCTTTTACAAAGACATATGAAGTAGTTAACAACACAAGCACATAACTTCCTTTTGAAATGATAAAATGTTATCATAGATGAATATATTAGCAGGTATAGAACACATGAAAAGAGTTGCGAAGAAAGTTGCAACTTGATTAATTAACTTATAATGATTAGAATGTGAAACACGGATATAGTCAGATAATGACATAAATGTTTAGAGAGAGATAATAATAATAATAAAGTACCTCAGCATCAGTCCCATAAAGGGTAACTCGGTAAACAACAGAGACAGACTTGGCATCAGCGGAATAGATGATGTTCCGAACTTCACCAGACCACTCTAAAGAATAAATTGAAACATATTATTAAATATTAAACCAAAAGAGCATAAAAGGGTAATAACTAATAAGTGCATACAATAATACATTATACAATACCAGGAGCGTGTAAGTTCAAAATGCGGTTCACAGTATGCCTGTAAAAAAGTATAACAATAAGAATATGGAGAGCAAAAAGTTTAGGGTTAGTGTAAGTGTAAAGGTAAGGCAATTAAAAACTGATAATAATGATAATAATAAGAAGAAGAAGAAGATTGTACCAAGGAATGTATCTGATGGGGAAGCCACCATCCTCATAGCGGGTTTTGACAAGAGAATCGGGGACTTTCTTGTTGAGCTCCTTCAGTATTTCAGAGAGAGGCCTACAGATTCCCGAACTTGGAGGAACATCCTCACCCTGTGGCTCTGATGGTTCAAAGTCCAACTTCGAATAAGACCGAGTGTACTTGAAACGACAGCGAACCCAGGAGGAACATGCCCTGCTCAATTTCAGGGATGATGCCATTATGTCATGTCTCAAAATACCAAAAATCTTCATATTTCAACGTTTAAACCTGGACTAATGGGCCTCACTTCATTTTTCGTCTTTTTATATAACCAATCTGGGCCGATTTATAATGGATTCCAAACGATGTAGAATACTATCTATTATTATAACTGTTTTTGGATTTCTCTAAATAAATTGAAAAAAATAAAATGAAACATGATGAAATTTATCTGAATTTGTTTTATTCTATCTCATATTGTTTTTTTCTCTCTCACAATTTAGGAACGTAAGTCTAATAAAGTTATAACTTTTATCATTTTATCCATCTCTCCACCGATAGAATAAAAACTTTATTCTATCAAATTTAAGGGTGTTCATCAACCGATCCAAATCGATTCAAACCGCGGTGACCGAACCGAAAAATCGATAACTGAATAAATCGAAAACCAAAAAATAAAAAACCGAAAAAAAATCACAAATTTTAATTGGATTAGATCGATTTTTGGATGGGTTGATGAAAACCGATCTAATCCAAACTGATCCAATATATTAATTTTCCTCTACTTAGGGATCTTTCCTTAATCATAGCCTAAAAATTTCTAAACTCAAGACCCATTAACCCATCATCTAAACCAAAGAAAAAATCTAGTCAGATCTCATCAACAAAATTTTATCTTTGTAGAGCTTCAAATTTCATTGCAAAAAATAAAAAACTATATTATAATTTACTAATGCTTTTTTATTTCAATTTTTTTTTACAAAGTCAATATATACAAAAGATGTTATTTGTACAATAATCATGAAATAAATTTTAGGATTTTCAAAAAACCGAAAACCGATCCAATCCAAACCAAAAAAAATTGGATTGGATCGGATCGGATTTGGAAAAAAATCCAAACCGAATGGATTGGTTTGGATGATTTTTACTTTCAAAATCGATCTAATCCAGACCGCGAACACCCCTAATCACATCATAAAATATTTAAACGACCATATAATGATTTTATTATTTTTATTCTATTATGTATCATCGTTATTTATTTTATTATACCCGCTGATGAGACCTTCAAAGCACGCTTTAATTCCCAGGTTCTTATACGTGAAATTATTTTTTATTCACTTCTAATTGTTGCTTGTCCAACTGATTAAGCGGTTAATAACGTGACACTAGCTTGTACTTAACTAGAGTTAAATTAAAAATTTGATCCTTTTCTTTTCTTTTCCCTTTTTTGGAATACAAAATTTGATCCTCTTAAACGATACCATTTTCGACTTGACTCTTAGATAAAAGAATTAAAAAAAAAATCAAATGAATCCTTATATATTGAATCGTTCCTTCCCTGCCAGATACGGTCATGATAAGCTGAAAGAAACTTTTTAGTGTTTTCTAGCCAATTCGGCAATAGAAAGACGACGAGACTCTCTCCTTCTCTCTCTGAGAACAAAATTATTCGCTCTCAATGTCACAATCAGTTGTTCAAACGTGTACTATCGCACCTCCTCAATGTAGAACACGAGCTTCACACTTGCCTCCTCCATCCTCTCAATATTTGAATATGTTTCAATATCATTCCATGTTTTAAGTCAGGGAGCGTTTTCCAACTGCAAATTATCACATAAGCAGAATCCTAAACTATAAGACCCTTTTTATTGGGAACAAGTCTTGCAATTTTTTCTTTTTCTTTTTTTAAAACAAAAAGAAAAGAGTAACTTTATATCAGTAACAAAAGATGTAGAATTTTACTTCAATTTAGGTACATGTGTTTCATAAATGAAACAAGAGTACTGTAAAGAGTGAATTTACATGAGGGCCATTTGTTGAATATTAATTGGATAACAATCATTAGGCGGGCCATTAACAGCTCTCCAGGCAAAGACATATACTGCTGATTGCGTTGGATGAAACGCATCCCAATAGACATACTGATTTCTGAATGCACATGGAACTTGAAACGGGAGGCATGTTATTTGGCCTCTATTCATTCCAATCCCACAACAGGCTCTATCAATGACATTAAACGCTGCAAAAGATAACCATTAGTCCATTAATACAATTTGGTCAAATTCATTCATTTTTATAAAAAATAATAATAATAATGCAATTTGTTTGAGAAGGGATTATTGTATCTTACAGTAGGCAGCAGGGTTATTTAGGACATCGCCAAAGACACCGTAAGTGTTACCATATACAAAGATGGCACCGGGATGGTTACTGTTCAGCTGGTCGACCATTGATCTGAGCCCTTCATTGAAGAATCCAACCATCTGATTAACGTTGTCCACACACCTTCCTGGCGGGGCTAAACCGCTGGCTCGTTGATTTGGGATGCAACCCAGTGGTCCAATTCCTGCTAAAAAAAACTTCCTCAATCCCACGCTATGTAATGCCTGCAATACACCACATTAATATAATTAATGAATTCGCTACAAATAAATCCAAAATCAACTTTAATTAAACTCTTTAAATTTGAGCATATATATGTGACGAACTACATATAGATTACAAACTTACAAATTATATTATATCTTATCGGCAAGATTTCACTTAAGTAAGTGTCTTATCGGTAAGACATAGTGTAATTTGTAAGAGTTTGTAAACAAAAATTTTATAAATATAATCTTCTTCACAAAACAATATAAAAGACAAGAGAGAGAAAAATTACCAGAAGTTGTCGAACAAAGCTATTAACAAGAAGATTGCCAAACGCTTGGGGTGTATAATTGTAACTGGAGCCATAGAAGCCAGGCTGGAGGTAGTTGTTGATGTAATCATTGCTTCCAATCACGACAACTGCTATAGACTTGGCTAAGTATTGACTCAATGTAGTTGCATTCATCATTGTCCTATACTGATTCAATGTGCTCTCAAAGTTCAGGACTTGCCGGCTCATGGTATAACGATCACCCTGCATCTCAGTATTTCAGCTTTTAGATACTATATATATATATATATAGATGAAACTCTATTGATGCCTAGATGAAAGCAAGAATAAAAAAGGTTAACAATAATAAAGACAAGTAGTGTGTAATTGAAGTACATAGGTACGCCCTGACTCATCAAGAATGCCAGCAGCAGCTGATGCATAATTGACTCCATTAAGTATTGTGCGTCCAACAGTGGAGGGGTCTGCAAAAGGTGGAGGAGAAGGAACACCAAGCAAGTCTCCTGTAAAGTTTAAAATTATGTGTTTAGAGCAAGGGAAGAGCCTCAAAAATTTTCGAATATCCATAAGGTTGATGTCCACATTGATGCATAGACAGCATAGTCAATGTAAAAGTAGATAGAATTTAAGGAAGTTTACCAATGAAGTCGATTAGGCATTTGCCATTACAAAATCGCCCAGTGGGACCCCCGCTGAAGTCGATGCCGTAAGGATAGTAATTTGCCCTTGCCACGGTGTTTAGGAAGTTATTGTTGCCAACATCAACCAATGAATCTCCGAAAACAAACAAAGCAGGAACCTTCTGTGAGTTTACTTCTGCCACCCCATCCCAGCATAGCAACAGTACAAGCATCGCTGCTGCAGTACTGCTTAGACATTCCCGTATCCCCACTTCCCTCATTTGAATTGTCAAAAAAAAAACAAAGGCGTAGTTGAAAATGATGAAGCAAATCTGACTGTGGAGAAGTAAAGGTTGGGATTGGAACAGAGGTACTTGTGGGTAATATAAATATGAAGGCAGTGAACTGGTATAGCTCATTGTCCATTCAGAAACGGCAACTACAAAAATCCAAGCCAAACCCATCAAGTATTTTGCTTCTGTGCCTTTTCTCATGCTTTTGGTTTCTCTTTTTAACTACCATTTTCCGTTTTCTTCTGCGTTTTGGTGTGTCCTCTCCTCAATTTTCATGCGCGCTAACTGTCACAATGGTTCGATGGGGGTGGCAGGTGTTGGGCTTCCTCCTTCAATGATAAGCCCAAGCCCATTTGAGGGGTTTCCTAAAAACCCTAAACCTAATTTCCACCTCCTCTATATATACTTATTAGTTGAGAGTGGAGGCTAGGTCAGATTTGAGAGAACAAATTTGAGAGAAAAATTGTTTGATTGTTTGAGTAAAGCTTTATGCTTTGCATTTGAGAGATTTCTAGAGAGAGTTTGAGTGAAACATCTCTAGGGTAGTTTGATTATCACCATTGTTGGAGAGGTTGAGTTAACCACCACATTGGTGTATTTGATTCGTTGTAACCATTATTTTCATAGTGGATTTCTGATCTGGACTAGGTCCCGTGGGTTTTTACTTCTTCATTGGAGAAGGTTTTCCCACGTTAAAACTGGTTGTGTTCTTCTTCTCTCTCTCCTATTTTGATTTTTTCGTTTTTGATTGTTCCGCTGCACTGCCTGACCTGGTGAAGTTCAGGCTGAGGTATTGCCGAGATCCGAGATCAGGATCTTGTTGATTGACTTCCGCACAAAGGCCCCTGAGCCGAGCTTGAGGGAACCGAGTTTTCCCAACAGTGGTATCAGAGCCCGAGTTCGACGGGTTCTGAGGGAGACGAGATGGAGACCAGTGGCATAACTCATGAAGGAGATATGTTCAAGTTGACCGCAGATAATTTCACATATTGGAGACCAATGATGGAAGATCATCTCTACTGCAAAGATTTGCATGAGCCCATTATCCTTGATGAGAGACCGGCAGGCAAGACAGATAAGGAGTGGGAGATCCTGAGTCGGAAGGCGGTAGCCACGATCAGGAAATATATTGATAAAAGCCTCTTTGAGCACGTGTCCAAATTCACGAACGCGTATGAGTTGTGGACGAAATTAGAGTCCATGATTCAGAAGAAGACTCCCAGGAACAAAGCACACCTGGTTCGCCGACTTGTTAAGCTTGAATACAAGGACGGTATGAGCATGATTGAACACCTGAACACCTACAAAGGTATTGTGAATCAGCTGTCAAAGGCTGATATGAAAATTGATGAAGAACTGCAGGCATTGCTGCTGTTGAGCTCGCTGCCAGAAAGCTGGGATACTCTGGTGGTGACCCTGAATAACTCGACTCCAGATGGAAAATTGAAGATGGATGTCGTGACAGACAGCCTCCTGGGCGAAGAATCCAGGAGAAGAGAACGAGGTACTTCGAGTACGTCTGAGGCCAACGTTGCTGAGAACAAAGGGAAATCTGACTCCCGCGATAGAAGCAAAAGCCGAGGTAGAGGTCGTGACAGACGAGACAAGTCCAGAGGTCGGTCAAAGCCGAAATATGAGTTGAAGTGCTTTTACTGTGGAAAGACAGGCCATAAGAAGCCAGACTGCTGGACCCTACAAAATGATGAGAAGAACGGCTCTGTGAAGCCAGATCAGATTGTTCCCAAGAAGAGGGAAGACAAGAGCACCACTGCGGTGGCTGCAAATCCTGATGCCGAGATATTCCTCCTTGGTGAGGATAATTATTTGAATGTTGCATATGATGACTGCACCTGGATTGTTGACTCTGGTGCCTCCTTCCACGTTACTCCACACAAAGGTTTTTTCTCCTCTTATCGAGGTGATGACTTTGGAGTCGTGAAGATGGGAAATCAAGTGACCAGCAAGATTGTTGGTGTCGGTGATGTGACTCTGACCACAGATGTCGGATGCCGACTTGTGTTGAAGGATGTGAGGCATGTACCTGACATGCGTTTGAACCTAATCTCGGTAGGCAAACTTGATGATGCCGGGTTAGTGAACTACTTCGGTAGTGTGAGATGGAAGCTGGCCAAGGGAAACTTGGTTGTGGCCCGAGGTAAGAAGGAAGGCTCCTTGTGCGTGATGCAAGGAAAGATCAATGGCGGAGAAGCCAATTCTGTCCGAGATGAACCTAGCTTGGAGCTATGGCACAAGCGCCTCGGCCACATGAGCGAGAAAGGGCTACAGATCCTGAACAAGAAAGGATTACTGACCGGGTTGAAAGGCCAAGCGTTGGAGAGTTGCACGCACTGCCTAGCTGGAAAGCAGCACCGGGTTTCTTTTGTGAGACCGGATCAACCAAGAAGACGAAGGAATATTCTTGACCTCGTCCATACTGATGTTTGCTCCATGTCGGAGAAATCACTTGGAGGAGCTCAGTACTTTGTTTCATTCATTGATGACCATTCCCGCAAAGTGTGGGTATATTTGTTGAAGTCTAAAGACCAGGTACTCCAATCCTTTAAAGAATTCCATGCGATGGTTGAAAGGGAGACTAGCAAGAAATTGAAGGTGGTCCGATCTGACAATGGTGGTGAGTATTGCGGCCCATTTGATGCATATTGCAGAGCGGCCGGGATCCGACTGGAGAAGACGCCCCCCAAGACTCCACAGTTGAATGGACTTGCTGAGAGGATGAACAGAACTATTGAAGAGAAGGTCCGAAGCATGTTATCCAATGCCGGATTGCCGAAATCATTCTGGGGAGAAGCCGTCAAAACTGCTGTTGATTTAATCAATCTCTCACCATCACGGCCACTTGAAGGAGAAATTCCAGAAGAAGTCTGGACAGGTCGGAAAGCGGCCTACAATCAACTGAAAGTGTTTGGATGCCGAGCTTTCGTGCATATCCCTAAAGATGAAAGGGCAAAACTTGATGCAAAGACTAAAGAATGCATTTATCTTGGTTCGCCGAGATGTGAGTTCGGGTTCCGACTTTGGGATCCAATCAATAAGAAGATCGTGAGAAGCCGAGATGTGATCTTTCATGAGCATGAGAACATTCATGACATCTCGAAGCCCAAAGTCCGGGTTACTGTCAGACGTGAAGAACCCATCCCTCCTGTCTGAGCTGAAGCAGGGGGAAAATCAAGAAAACGAAGAAATTGATGACCAGCAACAAGCTGAAGATGACCAAGACACTGAGGTCCGAGTTGATGATGAGATCCGGGTTGAAATTGATGAACCGAGTTCTCAAGCTGAAGAACAGTTGAGATATCCAACTCGAGAAAGAAGACCCTCTACAAGATACCCATCCGATGAATACACTGTTGTTGCTGAAGACGGTGAGCCTCAGAGTTATGATGAGGCTGTGACGAGCTCAGAGAAAGAAGAATGGGAAAAGGCAATGCAAGACGAGATGAAGTCTCTGCACGAGAATCAAACTTATGAGCTGACTGAGTTGCCAAAAGGAAGACGAGCTCTGAAGAATAAATGGGTCTACAAGATTAAGAATGAAGAGAACGGGCAAAAGCCGAGATACAAAGCCCGGATAGTAGTGAAAGGCTGCAATCAGAAGAAAGGAGTTGATTTTGAGGAGATTTTTTCTCCTGTGGTGAAAATGACCTCGGTCCGAACCGTGTTAGCCATGGCAGCTTCAATGGACCTCGAGGTAGAACAAATGGACGTGAAGACGGCATTTCTTCACGGTGACTTAGAAGAAGAAATATATATGGAGCAACCAGAAGGATTCCAAGCTCCAGACCAAGAAGACTTGGTATGTCGGTTGAAGAAGAGCCTCTATGGCTTGAAGCAAGCACCTCGGCAGTGGTACAAGAAGTTTGAATCATTCATGACTGATCATAAGTTTGAGAAGATTGAAGCCGACCACTGCGTAGTTGTGAAGAGGTATGAAGCAGGAGATTTTTTGATTTTGTTGTTATATGTTGACGACATGCTTATTGTAGGGAAAGACAAATCGAGGATAGTCGCCCTGAAAAAGGCGTTGAGCTCGTCATTGCGAAGATTCTGAAGAGATTCAGCATGGACAAAGCCAAAACAGTGAGCACCCCCCTAGCCGGACACATAAAGCTGAACCAGAAGCAATGTCCGAGATCTGATGAAGACAAAGATGAAATGATGAAGGTCCCTTATCAATCCGCCGTCGGAAGCTTGATGTATGCAATGGTTTGCACTAGACCCGACTTGGCGTATGCTGTTGGAATGGTAAGCCGGTATTTGTCAAACCCCGGCAAAGAGCACTGAGAAGCAGTGAAGTGGATCTTCAAGTACCTCCGAGGTACAACCGACTTATGTCTCCGATTTGGAGAAGGCAAAGCCGAGTTGCAAGGCTACTCGGATTCTGATTTAGGGGGAGACGCCGACTCGAGGAAGTCGACTACAGGATATTTGATGAGATTTGCCGGAGGAGCTGTCTCCTGGCAATCAAGACTTCAGAAATGTGTTGCACTATCTACAACTGAGGCTGAGTACATTGCCGCTACTGAGGCAAGCAAAGAGATGCTGTGGATGAAGAATTTTCTCATGGAACTCGGCCATGATCAAGACAAGTACGAGCTGGGTTGTGACAATCAAAGTGCAATCCATCTTGCGAAGAATTCGACCTATCACTCCCGCACTAAGCATATTGATGTGAGGTATCACTGGATCCGGGATGTGGTGGAAGGTGGTGAGCTCGAACTCGTCAAGGTGCACACTGACCAAAATTGGTCCGACATGATGACAAAGCCGGTTCCAGCAAGAAAATTTGAAGACTGCTGTGAAGGAGCCGGATTGATGCTAAAGCCGACGCATTGAAGTCGGAGGGGGAGATTTGTTGGGCTTCCTCCTTCAATGATAAGCCCAAGCCCATTTGAGGGGTTTCCTAAAAACCCTAAACCTAATTTCCACCTCCTCTATATATACTCATTAGTTGAGGGTGGAGGCTAGGT